TCTGCTAAAAGCTTCAGCAGTTGAGAGAGAAAGGGTCAAGGCCAGCAATCTATATAGCTGATCAGCTTTCTTTTTCTAAGCTGAAAACCTTTCCTGAGATTTCCAAAGTCACTTTCCCATGGGGAGAGGAGCAAGGGAGTCTGGACGCATTTTTCTCATGAATAAATGTTTCAACTAATGAATTAATGGAAGGAAGTCAGGAAGGGAAAATAAACATTAAAATAAACAAAGGACAGATCATAACAGAAAGATTTAGGAAGGAGCTCAGGGTAACTTTCTTTTCTCTCTCTCTTTTTCCCTTGCCTTCCCTGCTCTCTTCCTCTTTCTCTCTTTTTTCATGGTGACAGCAAGGAGAAAACTAACCAGGATCCAGAAGAGAGAGAAGCGAAATGGGCTGGGCATGGGAAGAAGTGGAAGAAAGAAGTAAGAGAAGAGAGCTTCAGGCACAAAATGAAGCAACGTGAGCCCTGTGCTGAGCTCAATATGTTCTCTGCACTATGATTGCATTTCTGTAGATGTGACAATGGAATCTGCAGGTCCTGAATGATTCTGACCCTAAGAGGTCACAGCCATGGATACCAAAATGTCAGAAATGGATTGGGGGAATGGTGTCATAATGTTGTTTTCCTGATAAAATAATGATGATGTCATTAATTTAGAAAGAAAATCCCACAGGCACACGTGACTCAGTAAGTAGACAAGAGTCACCTCAGGGAGTGACCGAGCCCCACCTACGGCAAGCACCCACAGCCCCACAGGAAACAGCAGTCCCATCCCACCAGCCCCCACAGTCAAGGTGGGGAGACGCCTCTGCCCTGACGTGGCTGCTGGTGACTAGGAGTCTCTTGGGAAAGTTGCTTCCGGGCTCTGGGCCTCTCTCTGTTCCTCCTTTGTCACCAGGACAGAACACCCAGGGTGCCATCTAACTCCCAGGACTGCTGTGACCTCAGGCATTTGGGGTTCTTGGTTTGCAACATCCCCAAGAACAGGCGAAATCCCCAAAACCAGGTGAAACCCCTAAGAACAGGCGACATCCCTAGCTGGGATTTTTTCACAGTGGTGACCTTAAACCACTCCTACCTGTAGCCACTCTTTTGGCTTTCTTCTTTCTTGAGAGCTGCATAGATCAGTTTTCTCCCCCAAACATCAATGTTGTCCGCCTCTCCTTCCCTCCAACCACACTACACTGTGACTTTAGTCAATAATAGTACCTTTCTTCATATTTACCTTGATATTGTCAAATAGGCTGGATAACCATGAAGAAACTGGGGTGTCTGCCTTTAACGGGTTGAAGACACAGCCACTCAGGGGAGCCTTTTGATAAGATATACCCGAAGTTCTTGGTTAACAAAGGAGTCACGTGGGAAGCCCTTCCTCCCTGGTGAGTGGGGACCACTGTTCTGGGGCCAGGAGGCTGTTGGCCAAGGGCAGGGACGTCGGCCCTCTCCACAGCTGGGTTCATTCTGCCCCAGGCAGCAGCGGCCAGGGCTCACACATCCTTCACAGCGGAGCCCCACCTGACCCCCCCAGCTGCTCTCAGTCCTTCTCCAGGGAGCTTCTCGGGTTGGAAACCAGACCCAGAGGCTTCTGAACCCTTTCAATCATGCTCTGAGCACAAGCCAGGAAGGCAGGGATGGGGGCGGCAGGAACGCAGATGAAGCAGCTATTTTTGAGTGACTGGAAAGAAAAGCTAAACACAGGTGTGTTCTGCACCCATGGAAATGTTCCCAAATCCACAAGAATTCTTTATAAATAAACTAAAATAACACACCACTGGAGTTGCCACATTTCATCCTGGTTTCCAGGGACACACACAAATAGTTCGGGCCAGTGCACATTATTTCAGGAACTGAGAAGAGCTTATAGGCACTCACTAAAGGTGTCTGGCTCATTTTCTAGCAAGCTCTATGAACTGACAACCTAGGACTGAAAATGAGGGTGATGTTTGCCCTGTGACTCCTGCCATGGCTCAGAAAAGCAGGGCAAAGAGAAATCAGTTTAACCGACAATAAAATGAGACCACAGCTGGTTTTGGGGGTAAAATGAGAAACTCCACAGCAAAAGCCATCAACACTTAGAGAACAGCAATTCTGAACTTTCAACTCAACTCACAATGTAATAAAGAACCATATCAAAATGAAGATTAAACAAATCATGGTGAAACTATTCACTCTGCAATATGAAAAGCAAACAGTCATCTAAATGAACTTGTGGGTGATCCCTCAACTAGGAGCAAGAGGAAGATTTTTTTATAAAGCAGGCTTGACAGACTCAGACTCCATCCTTCCCATCTTCAGCAGGCAAAATACTTTTGGCATATTTTCTTTCCAATTCTTGCTGAAATCTCACCCGTTGCAAAACTCTTTTTTTTTTAAATATAATTCTATTTAGTTAGTTTTGGCTGTGCTGGGTCTTTGTTGCTACTCAGGCTTTCTCTAGTTGCAACGAGCATGCTCAGTTGCTTCAGTTATGTCTGACTCTTTGCAACCCCAAGAACTATAGCCCACCAGCTCCTCTGTCCATGGGATTTCCCAGGCAAGAATACTGGAGTGGGTTACCATTCCCTTCTCCAGAGGATCTTCCTGACCCAGGGATCGAACCTGCGTCACCTGCATTGCAGGAATTTTTTTTTTTTTTTTAGGTAAGAGGTGGATTTATTTAGAGAGAAACACACTCCATAGACAGGGTGTGGGCCATCTCAAAGGGCAAGTGTGGCCTTGGGAGAAACTCCAGAGTGTGGGCTGTTGCAACAGCGAAGCCCGGCAACATGACAACTGAGCCTGTGCCCTGGAGCCTGGGGAGCAGCAACTATTGAGCCCACGATCCACAACTACTGAAGCCCACAAGTCCTAGAGCCGAGCTCCACAACAAGAGAGGCCCCCACTATGAAAACCCATACACCGCAACTAGAGAGGAGCATCACCCCTCCATGTGGAAGCCAGGTCCAGGGATCAAGGGGACAGGGAGGGTGCCAAGTGCTCGTTTTGCAAGTGGAGTCATAATTATCTGTAAGCTGCTTCACAGGCCCAAACTGCTTCTTAACATTCAGCTAGGGAACTGGGGAAAGCAGTCGCAATCCTCAGGACACTGTGAGAGCAGCCTTCCACCTCCACCTGGTTCCCTGCTCCCTCTCGGGTGGATGGGACCAGGAGAGAGTCCCAGTCTGACTAAAGAAGCTCTTTAGAAAACTCGACTTTCTTTTATCCAGCAGGATTTCAGACTGGGAGGAAGGAATGAAATCACCAGGATGAATGAGTTCTCATCGTATTGAATCAAATGACAAGGATGGAATATAAGAAGATGTTGAGGTAGAAATAGATGAGTTCAGACAAGAGACCATCTGCGGCAGTCTTTTCTTTTCCCCAAACCTTAGTAAACATCATTGTACATCTGGTTTTCAACTGAAAAGAGGGTATCCCCCTCCAAACAAAAACAGGGAAGTGACCCCCCCCCACATTGCAAAGAATGGCAGTTGTTTAAAACTCTGGTCGCTTTATCATCCGGGGGTGGGGGGGGACAGCTCCACCCCTTCCCCCATGGTAATAAAACCTAGTCTCTGTGCCAATTATCGGAGTATCTATCTCCTGCTTCACAGCTGCTTCAAGTCTTTGGTTCAGGGTCTGACTTAAAATAGGCAATGCCCTGTGCCCAGGAACGCAGCCTGGAGGAGGCCCACAGGATGAGGGCAAGGGTGGCAAAGAGAACCTCTCTGCCTCCTCGGCTGAAAGGAACAAGAAGGGCAGTGTTTCCCCTCCTCTGGGTTCCTCTGGCCACGGTCAGCACCTATAGAGGTGAATCAAATTAAGTTCACAGGAGATTTTAGAGGTGAGAAGATGGATGTTCTGGGGCCCTCAGCAAGCAGGGAACACTCTGCTGGTCCAGAAAGGCGCCTAAGCATTGCCCAGCACACCACTTTACATGTAGAAGGTGAGAGCGCCAAGCTGTCTCCTTAAATAACCTGCCCTTGGGCAAGCTACTTAACTTCTGGGGTCCTGCATTCCCTGGCATCTGGGGCTTGGGCTCTTCAAACACACAGCCTCTACAGCCATTCCTTAAAGGTCACTGTCCTTGATTAGAAGGTTATAAGGGTAAATCCTACCAATCACCTATAGACACATTTGGAGGCGGGGATGGGGGCAGGTAACACCATGTCCCTCCCCTCTCAGTGATGGCCAGAGGCAGTGGGACCCAGGACCTGCTTCCCACCTGAACCCCCTGCCCTGTCTCCCCTTTCTCTGCCCCCTCCACCCTGTCCATGCTTTCTAGCCCTGCATAAATGTAAGCAGCAGTGATGATTCCCTAATCACGCCCTTAAGCATCCTAAAGACAGCTCAGCATTTCTTTCATGATCAACCATGATAAGAACACTATATTTCAGAGAAAAGGCCATGTACTCTGGGAATTACTTAAATAATAGATCTTTCAACCACCTTCTTGATGAGTACCATTGCATGAAAGCATAAAGTCCATGGTGCAGGCCCTGTTAAGCTGTGTCACTTCACACAGATGCAGTGATCATAAAATCGTCCCATCTTCTCAGCCTGAGCAAGATGGGCAAGATTCTCTCAGGCATGCTACCCGTCTTTGATCTGAACAGTAAACATTCTTTAAGCCTTATCTGCCTGTGAGGCACAACCTTGCCTTTCTAGAACCCCTCCTTGGGTCCCTCACGACACAGAGCTTTGCAGCCAGGGCTGCTGTGGAAGGTGGGCTCACCAGTCAAGCAGGCCGCTTTCCATCTCCCAGGTTAGCCTTTCTGGGACGGGGTCATGCAAATCTGCAGCTGGCTCCAAGGCAAATGGAAACTAGTTGAGCTTCAAGTTCATTCATTCACTTGGATACATTTGGCCTAGCCTGACTGAGAGGAAAGACGCAAGATTCTTCCTTGGGATTTCAGGATCATGAAAATCATTTCAAAGGTTAAAATAAAAGCTCGTACTATCCACTCAACACCTCAAAGTAGTTCAGAGTTTAGAAGATAGGAGGGAACATTTGTTTACCTTATTGATGAGAGTGACTATATCTCCTTCTTTGATTGTCAATTCATCATCATTCTGTGCCTCATATGGAAAGATAACTTTGCAGTAATCCTTGGCTGTAAGGAGAAAAGAAAACACAACCTTTAAAATGCTGTATCTAATGAGCTGTCCCAGGAGGAGATGTTCTCTATCACATCAACTGCAGAGAAAGGCACACATAACAGACAGGACATAACTGCTGCATAAAGATACAAGGTTCACCCTTGGAAAACCACCCAAGATGGCTCATTTTTGGTTCATGCATTTTTTTATTCTCACTCTTTCCCCTCACAAATTAGGTGATGTCATGAAAGCCACTGACTGCTTTGCTTCTCTCAGACAGAAAAGCAAAATGATTTCCTTGGTCTCAGAAAATAGGGGTGTCCTTTTATAGACTCTTTATTTTACACACCATTTTATATCTTCTTCAGGTGGATGCATACGTAGACGCAATCTACAAAGAGCTTAAAAGCTTAAATTTTGCCCTGTCTTCTGCACATCACTAAACCAGAAATCAAGCATATGCATATGTTATAAAATGGTACCCAAAACAATGGAAAAGACTCCAGCATGGTCTGTTAAAGAGACAGAGGTCGATGTAGTTGTATGTGATCATGTGTCAGTCACAAATGGCCAACAAATACTGACCAAATGTTCTTTACACACACATGTGGGGTGGGGGCGAACTTTTCAAATATGTTTCAAGGTCCCTCTATGGGAACCTGCCTACTCAGAAAGGGGGTTGTTCGACAGTAAGGAAATAGCTTTTACCCCAGACAGAAAACACTAAGGCCAATCAAAATCCATTCAAATGTGCCCTGAATTATATGCTTTGGAAAGTCTACCTGATACTAAAACCTTCACTATTTCCACAAAAGCACCTGTTTAGAAGACAGTGAAAATACTTGTAAGGCACTAGGGAAATTAAGACTTTGAAAAGAGGTTTAAAGACTCAGGACAGAAGGTAGAAAGAAAAATTTGAGAGAATTAGCACCTACTGGGTATTTATTATTCTGCATCAAAGTCAACAACCCCAATGGCTTTGAATGGCCTTAGATATTTCCCAAGGATTAGGCCAGTTTCTACAGACAGATTACAGCCTAGAGGTATATAAGTATCAATTATATTATCCCTGGTACAATTTACATCACTAAAATGTGGGGATCTTTTTTATTATGGTTAATATCATATCAATCAAAGAGAGTGATATAAACAGAAAAAGAGACACAGATGCACAGAACAGACTTTTAGACTCTGTGGGAGAAGGCGAGGGTGGGATGTTCAGAGAGAACAGCACTGAAACAAGTATACTATCAAGGGTGAAACAGATCACCAGCCCAGGTTGGATGCATGAGACAAGTGCTCAGGGCTGGTGCACTGGGAAGACCCAGAGGGATGGGATGGAGAGGGAGGCAGGAGGGGGATCGGGATGGGGAACACATGTAAATCCATGGCTGACTCATGTCAATGTATGGCAAAAACCACTACAATATTGTAAAGTAATTAGCCTCAAACTAATAAAAATTAAAAAAAAAAGAGGGTGATATATAAAATTAAGGCAATAAAGCATCTATAATACAGACACACTCTGGTCTAGGGTTGGGATATCACAGAGAGTAGGGAGGGGATGAGGGAGGAAGGGAGAGAGGGAAAGAGAGGGACTAACTTTGTTGACAGATGCTTTTGCTTCCCGTTCAATGACTTGAAGATATCAGTTATATCCCCTAGCCTAGTGTGGAAACCCTTCTGTCTTAGGTACTCTGGGAAGTTGATGGCTTTTGCTCCTTAACTCATCCTAAGAGGCACTAGTTCTAAATCCCATCACTATCAATCCACCCAAATATTCCTAAACCTATATGGTTCCATCTCTCTTAAATTAGCTATAGCAAACCTCCCAAATTCTGAATGGGCCCAAATGTTCTAAAGGGAGGGGGAAAGTTAAGCACCTTTAAATTGGATAATAACAGCTCCTTACTAATTTTCCTATTGACTGTATTAGTGAAACATGACTACCCCACCTCAAAACTTGCAACAACACTGAAATAAATACAGTATTATTGGAGAACTGCCCTGCAGAGTCTTTGCTTTAAGAATAATATGTTGGATCAAAATCATGGAAACGTTTTACACAGAAGATAAGACATCTGTGGCCAACAAAAAAAGGAAAAAGTCATGTTTCTATTCCTTTTCACCCATCAAAAATAGTCAATTAAGTGTGGTAGACATTGTTGGTTAACTTCCTGGTCATTATCCCCCATCTCCTTCCCAGTTCATAGAATCCTAATTTGCTCAGGCATTATTTTCAGGAATAGGGAACCCTCCCATAGCCCTGGGGATGAGTAAAGTATGTCTATGCAAATAATACTTTTATAACCATTTTTACATTGAAATATAGTTAATTTATAATGCTATGTTTGTTTCAGGTGGACAGCAAAGTGATTCAGTTATGCACACACACATATGGTATTCTTTTTCAGATTCTTTTCCCACACAATTTATTACAAGACATTGAATATGTTTCCTGTGCTATAACAGTAAGTCTTTGTTGTTTATTTTATATATAGTAGTGTATATGTTAATACCAAACTCCTAATTTATCTTCCTCCACTTCCCACTATCCTACTTGGTATTTGTAAGTTTCTCTGTCTGTGAGTCCACTTCTGTTTTGTCAATAAGTCCATTTGTATCACTTTTTTAGATTCCAAATATAAGTGATATCACATGATATTTGTTTTTATCTCATTTACTTTCATCTCTAGGTCCATCTATGTTGCTGCAAATGGCATTATTTCATTTGTTCTATGGCTGAGTAATATTCCATTGTATATATGTACCACATCTTTATCCATTCCTCTGTTGATGGACGTGTAGGTTGCTTCCATGCCCTGGCTACTGTAAATAGTGCTGCAATGAACACTGGGGTACATGCATCTTTCTGAATTATGATTTTCTCTGTATATATGCCCAGGAGTGACATTACTGGATCATATGGTAGCTCTACTGCTAGTTTTTTAAGGAACTTCCATACTGTCTTCCATAGTGGCTGTACCAATTTGCATTCCCACCAACAGCGTAGAAGGGTCCCCTTTTCTCCACATCCTCTCCAGCACTGTTTGTAGACTTTTTAATGATGGCCGTTCTGACTGGTGTGAGGTGATGCCACATTATAGTTTTGATTTGCATTTCTCTAATAATTAGTCACATTGAGCATCTTTTCATATGTCTGTTGGTCATCTGTGTATCTTCTTTGGGGAAATGTCAATTTAGGTCTCTTTAGGCAAATAATATTTATTTCACTCCCCTTTGTGGGTGGTTGGTTGAGGAGTGTGCATGTGATCCACTTCTAGCCAATGAGATGTGAGAAGAAATGTCCTGGGGTAGGGAGAGGCTGTTAGATTTTGTTCCCAGATTTAAAAAAAAATAGATACATGAGGGAAATAGTTACCCCAGCCTTTTTGCATTTAACACTGTTTCACTTTAGTTGGAAGACAGTATTTTGTCCTGCTACAGTCACATTTCAATCATGAAAGGAAAGCCAAGAAAATCAAAGAGGAAGTGACCTTGAGCCCTGACACTGTTGAGATGTCTGTCAAATTATTCAACTTCAGGGGACCTGTCCTTGGATTTCTTGTTATCTGACTTAATAAAACTTCACTGCTTATCATCACTTTGTGGTGAGGCAGGTATTTATCACTCAAAGCAGAAGGCTCCCTGACATGAAGGAACTCAGAAGAAAGAGGACACTTTCAGTAACCTCTTCTGAAACACTTCACTATAATCTGCCTCTGCCACCCCAACCTTCTTCCTATGTATCTTTCTCATTCCTTCTCCCACCCTCCCCCACAAACTCTTCCCTTGCTACCTTAAGACCTGGCCTCATAATAGGTCAGTAAATGACTATGAAATTGACTTATAACCAACGGAAGTGAGAAAACATTTTTATAAGAAAGTACTAATATGCCTTTAAAATGTTTCATGAGGCCATTTCGTTTTATGGTCAGTTTCCTTATGAGCTAAAGGAGGGCAGGTGTTCCTCTGTCATTTTTTAAAAAACAGCTTTAATGATGCATGATTTAAATGCCATAAAATTCACACATGTAAGTTGTACAGTTTGAAGAGTTTTAATAAATTTATAGAGGTGGGTGGCCATCTCTGCAATGCAGTTTTAGAACACTTTCACCATGTAGCTATATGGTGAAGCCTTAGATGCAAAATGATCTAGAAAGCATCAATTTTAGATAAAAGGAGGAGGTAATAGTGCCAGTGGCTACCATCAACTACCTCTCTCTGTAAAGCAGGTTCCCACACAATACCTCATCCATCTTTGTATCTCCAGAACCTGACATAGCTCCCACCCTGTGTTTCTTGATGATTCTCTAGCAATACCTATAAAGTAGAGGACTATGGGATAGCAAAGCAGGAAGAGAGGATTCTGGGCTAGAAGTCAGGATGGTCAAGACTGGGTTTGGCCCCAACTAGTCCTTCCCAAACACACAACTTGAGGCAATCACGCTGTTGCTCTGGACCTCACATCCTCAGGTATGAAAGAGAGGCTGGCTCAGGAGCACCAAGAGGAGGGTTTGGCTAACTTTAGCAGGACTCTTAGAGTCAATTTAAACTTATTCTAGAACTCTAATATAAAACAAATAAAACAAATAAAAACAGAGCTGTCTGGTTAAATTAGAGAGTGAGGCTGGTCCATCTTCTCCCCAGATCCTCAGAAATATCTCAGTGAAATAATGGGGGTATCAAGGAACACACTGGGCTACACATAAGTCCCAGCCAGCTATGACTGTTCAGGGCTCTGGTCATGAGCACCGTAATTCACAACACTCCTGACCAAACATGACAACTATTTAACTCACATTTTAAATTATTATGATATATTTTAAAATAAGAATTTTTTTTTAACTTCTGAGGCATTTGGGCCCTAACTCAGCAGTATTGGGAAATAAGAACATTAGGTTGGTTTTAATATATCAATGGTTTTAAGATATTCAAAAGTAAGTTCAAATGCAAAATAATATATTAACTGAGACTATGATTTCAATTTTCTAGTCTGTGGAATAAAAATGTT